ACAGTTCCTATCCTCCTGGGTCTTACTCTTAAACCGCTTGCTGCTTATTTGAAAAGTGCAGTACTCTAGCAATTGTTAAAATCTATTGTAAGACCTCTAGCACGCAGAGAAAAACTAGCCATTCACCTCACTCTATGCTATTCCTATCAGAGAGAACACAGAAGATATTCTCTTCCCTTGGCCAGCACCCTCCCCTTACTAAAATATGGTGTGTGTTTCTGAAATGGGGGTGGGGTGGGGGTGGAGTCTAGCTTTCCTGCTGCAACAAAGACACGACGGTTCACAGCAGGCCAGAGCTGGGCAACCTTAGAGGCAGGGTCCAGGCCTCTTGGATCTGCGGAAGGGATGGGCTGTGCCAGTCCAGGGTGGGTGCCAGTCTTTGTCTCTGATGCATGCCGAGCCCTTCCCATGTGATTTTATCACACAAACCCCCACTCCCGCAATGGGTAGACACACAGGAGTGTATGCTTTAGGAAGATTTCTGCAACATGACGGTGCGATTTAAAATCTGGGTTCTCCTTTCCTGAGCTTGGACCTAAACTTGTCCTCAGATAGGAGAAGGCGCTTTAGGCAAAGGACTGCAGGGACGAGAGAAGGCGCCTGGTGCTAGCGGGTAGCTTCTCAGCCTTGATGACTAGCGGCCAGCAGATGTCAGTGCGCCCTCGCTCTGCAGCGGCGCGAGGCCTCCGCCTCCAGGACCCCTCCCCACAGTGGTCTAAGGGGGCACGGTCCAGACCTCCGGCTCCTGTCCCGCAGACAGCTCTGTGGCTGGAACCACACGTGGTCACCCTTCCCCAAGCAGAGCTCTGAACTGTGGCCTCCTCCGCTGGGCAGGAGGCACTTCCCATTCCGCCCCAGAGGGTCGATCCAAACCTGCGCCTTCCTCTCTCGCCAAGACTCCATTCGCTCCCGCGGACCGGAGCACTTGCGGACGAGGGAGGCCCGGCCCAGGGCGGGGCTATTCCGGTTGTAACCCGTCTCGGTGGCTGCTTTTCCAGATTCGAGTTGGGGGTCCCCAACCCTCTTTCCTCTCAACCCAGTTCGATAGGGGCACTCCCGGGTGCCCACTGCTTCCTGCTGGGCCGGCCCAGAGCTGCTCGGTCAATTCCCAGCAGGGGCCGCTCCCCACTCCCCGGGCACGCTCTTTAAACCCCTCGCCCGAGGTACCTGCCTTTCCAAAGGGCACGTCCGGCCAGGAAGGCAGCGGTCCCCTGGGTCCCGCGCTGGGGCGCGGGCGCCGGACCCGCGGAGGGGAGGTGCAAGGGGCGGGGGAGGGTCGGCTTCCCACGTGGGGGCTGACGCTGGCTGCTCGGCAACGCCGGCTTGATCCCCGGGCTATAAAACCAGTCCACGGTGAGCGCGGAGGAGCAGCAGCGGCTCTGGCTTAGGTGCAGACGCCCAGCAGCCGGCGTGCCGCCTCCCCGCCACCCCCAGCGCCTTCTCCCCCCAACCCTGAGCTCCTGCCCCAACTCACGCTGCCTTCGGACCCCAGCCTGTCCAGCCCCGCTCAGTGCCCGCAAAGCGCCGGGCCGACGCCCAAGAGACCCTCTGCCTCGGCCGCGGCTCCTGGAGGGCCGATCGCCCACCCGCCCCGGCCCGCCTGAGGACTGGGGCGCCTTCATGCGGCCCCCACACCCCTCACCCTGTCGCTGCCGCCGCCTCCGAGCTCCTTGCGCTGTGTCCCAGCCCCAGCAGGGCACGCAAGTTTGGAAGTCCCGCGGCGCTCCGAGAAGCGGCAGAGTCCGCACCCTGGCCCCAGCCCGGGCCCCTTCGGCCCCGCCGCGTCTGCGGGAAGCAGGAGAGCCGGGAATTGCTTCAGGGATGTAAGGAGACAGACATAGGACCCCAAGCCCGCATCAGCACCCCTCGTCTGCCTCCTGGGGTGGGGGCGGGCCCCTCGCACGGTAAGACCTCTTGCTTTCGTTCACGCTCAAGAGTCAGGAGATTTTATATGTAGATAGATAATTTCCTGTCATCTTTCCAAGTCATCAAGCCACCGATGATTTTTGTTCTTATTGAAGAATAAATCACTTTCCCCATCGGCCCTACCTACTCTCTCCTGCCGCTTAGAAATAAAACTTGGCGGTGTTTAGGGGCTGAGAGCGAGACGGCGCCCACCCTGAGCGCCCGAAGCACAAGCCAGGCGCCGTTGGTGGGAGCCCGGCCCATGGGCCCATAGCGGCCCCGCAGTTCGGCCCGGCGTTCCTGCGGCCCCCTCCCCATGTGAAGCGCGGCAGGGCGAGCGGGGCGCGGGAGGAAGAGGAGGATCCACGGGCTTCGAGCCGGAAGGCAGCTGGCAGCCGGCCCAGGTAAGCGGGCACCCGCGTTCATGTTCCGCCAGGAGCAGCCGCTGGCCGAGGAGGGCAGCTTCGCGCCCATGGGCTCCCTGCAGCCGGACGCGGGCAATGCAAGCTGGAACGGGACCGAGGCGCCGGGGGGTGGCGCCCGGGCCACCCCTTACTCCCTGCAGGTGACGCTGACGCTCGTGTGCCTGGCGGGTCTGCTCATGCTGCTCACCGTGTTCGGCAACGTGCTGGTCATCATCGCCGTGTTCACCAGCCGGGCGCTCAAGGCGCCCCAGAACCTCTTCCTGGTGTCTCTGGCCTCGGCCGACATCCTGGTGGCCACGCTCGTCATCCCTTTCTCGCTGGCCAACGAAGTCATGGGCTACTGGTACTTCGGCAAGGCGTGGTGCGAGATCTACCTGGCCCTCGACGTGCTCTTCTGCACCTCGTCCATCGTGCACCTGTGCGCCATCAGCCTGGATCGCTACTGGTCCATCACGCAGGCCATCGAGTACAATCTGAAGCGCACGCCACGCCGCATCAAGGCCATCATCGTCACCGTGTGGGTCATCTCGGCCGTCATCTCTTTCCCGCCGCTCATCTCCATCGAGAAGAAGGGCGGCGGCGGCGACCGGCCGCAGGCCGAGCCGCTCTGCAAAATCAACGACCAGAAGTGGTACGTCATCTCGTCGTGCATCGGCTCCTTCTTCGCGCCCTGCCTCATCATGATCCTGGTGTACGTGCGCATCTACCAGATCGCCAAGAGCCGCACCCGCGTGCCGCCTAGCCGCCGCGGCCCGG